CTTAATATATATATATATATATATATATATATATATATATATATGCCATAATTTTTATTTAGTTAATATTTTGATATTTTATTTATTTATTTTAACATTAACTATACATTTTAAAAACAATTCGATAGTGATTCAATTAAAATTTATTTTAATATATATTTTAACGAATATTATTTAGGAGTGTTGTTAAATTAAATGAAATAAAATATATACTTTAACATTAAAGGATAAGAGCAATGTAATACTCATATTTCTTAAAAGAAAATAGTGTAATTTTTTTTTTACATAATAAGAAACGACAATGTAATACATAAATCACGTTAGAAAAGAAAGTGTAATTTATTTTCACAATATAAAGTTAAATAAATTAAATTATATAATTTTTTTTAATATATCCATATCTTAAGAAAAAATAATGTAATTTACTTTGAAAGTTATAAAAAAAATAAATAAAAATAAAAAATAGGGTTGTTAGTCAACGAAATAAAAAAAATAAAAAGATAATTGTAGCCCATTTTTATTTAATATTTTTAAGAATTCTTAATAAATGTTTTGTTGACAATATTAGCATTACTATTAAAAAATTTAAATATTAAATGCTTTAAAAGATAGAAGATAATTTTTAATTAAATTATCTAACTTAAATTCTAATGGGATTGTCGGTATGTATGAAAAAAATATTTTACTAAGTATTGTAATTTTACTCACATATCAAATAAATTGAATTAAAATTTAGTCAAAATTATTATTATTATTATTATTATTATTATTATTATATATGAAGATGGTTATAATAACACCGGTGTGACTTTTACTAAGTATTATACCATTCAATAACTTTATATTAATTGTGAATTTTGTAAATCTGACCGTTAGATTAAAAATTCATATCACTTTATATGTGTATATCAAATTTTGTTAAAATTAAACAAAAACTTGAAAGAACTCAAAGTGTTTATATTTTAATATATTTTAAAATAAATATATTACGTCAATTTTATTTTATAAGAATGAAGTATCAAATCATCTTGAATTAATATAAAATTTTATATATATAATCTAAGAGAAAAACTTTAAATCTAATGGTTGGATTTACAAAATTCGTGAAATAATTTTGCATTTTTAATGGATTGAGGGATGAAAGTCACACCTTCCTAATCATCCAAAGTGGTGTAGTTTCACGTGAAGATGTTTTACAAAATAATAGACTATTTGTATTTTAAGAAATAAAGATTAAATACATTACTTGAATTAAAAAAAATGTATTTAATAAGAAAGGAAAAAATATTAATTGAGACATAAGATAGATTGGATCTTATAAAAAGAATTAAATCAATTTAAAATAATATTTAGTCAAAGAAAGTTTGTAGAAAAATGTAGATTAATATATAAATTAATTTTTAATTATCAATTTTTTTAGATATTGTGTGATGTATGAAAAAAAAATATATCAATTTGAAAATTTGATTCAAATGATAATATTATTTATTAAATATAACATATTTATTAAATGTAATAATGCAATATTAATGCATGCTTATTAAATGTATAACCTTAATAATGAGCATATATGTATTATAAAAACTAGTAAATAATATATCATTGTTTAAAATTAATTTAGAAAATATAAGTTAAACTATAAAATTCAAATGTATGTTAATATATATATATATATATATATATATATATATAATGTCATAATTTTTATTTTTAGTTAATATTTTGATAAAAAAAAGTTTATTTTTTATTTTAACATTAACTATTCATTTTAAAAACAATTCAAGTGAGTGAAGAATAAGATAGTGATTCAATTAAAATATATTTTAATATATATTTTAACGAATATTCTTTAGTAGTGTTGCTAAATAACATTAAAAGATAAGAGTAATGTAATACTCATATTCCTTAAAAGAAAATAGTGTAATTTATCATTTTTTTTAAACATAATAGGAGATGATAATGTAATACATAAATTATGTTAGAGAAGAGAGTAATTTATTTTAACAATGTAAAGTTAAATAAATTAAATTATATATAAATTTTTTTAATATATATCTTAAGAGAAAATAATGTAATTTACTTTGAAATTTATAAAAAAAAATAAAAAAAAATAGGGCTGTTAGTCAACGTAATAAAAAAATAAAATAAAAAGAGAATTGTAGCCCTTTTTTATTTAATATTTTTAAGAATTCTTAATAAATGTTTTGTTGACAATATTAGCATTATTATTAAAAATTTTAAATATTAAATACTTTAAAAGATAGAAGATACTTTTTAATTAAATTATTTAACTTAAATTCTAATGGGATTGTTGGTGTGTATAAAAAAAGTATTTGTTGGGAGATATCAACTTTAATTAAATTAGTGTTTTAAAATATCACTTCTTAACTCTCAACTAAGAGATATTCCTATCTTGTTTAGAAGAAAATAAAAAAAGAATTAGAAGAAACTTAAAACTAATTAGAGGTATAAAATGAGTCAACTCGATTAATTATAAGTTAATGTTTTAAATGAACCAGTTCACCCATCAACTTACTTTTTCATGAAGTGGAAAAAATTCAAATCTTGCTAGAAAAATTACAAGTTAGATGAGTTGACTCACTAAATTTTTTAAAAACAAAAAAATTACATATTCATGTTTTTAATAAATAAATTAAATTTTTCTATTAAAAAATCAAGTTTATCATTGATTCAAATATAAATATAAAAGAAATTTTTTTCTAATAATAACTATATAATCCATAAACATAAAATTTTATTTATCCTTTTTAATTGTTGTAGACTAATCCAACTCACTTTTTTTTTTTTATAACTTAACTCAATTCACTTTAACTAGAATTTATTTGACTTATATATCAAATAAATTAATTTAAAATTTAGTCAAAATTATTATTATTAGTAATATATATAAATTCATTTTTAAATCTCTAAAACCGATATTATTTACTCCTAGTGTTTAAAGTCTTGGATCTAAATAAATATTTTGTTGACAATATCACTATTTGCATTTATAAAAGCTTATTATTTACTCCTAGTGTTTAAAGTCTTGGATCTTAATAAATATTTTGTTGACAATATCATTATTTGCATTTATAAAAGCTTAAAAAACCAGTGCTTTAAAAGTTATTAAATAATCCCACCAAAAAATAAAATAAATGATATATATTTTTTAGAACATCCACAATGATAATTTACGAAACAATTCTCTTAGAGAAGCAACGTTTCTTTTTTGTTTGTGATCATTTGAAGCAATTAAATTGGAGTGTTTTTTGGGCAAAAGTTGTTTTAGCTAATAACTAGGAAATCAACCAACAAATATTAAAAAAAAATTTATTTTTTATTTTACCGTTGCAAATGCAATGATTTTTTTTTTCATTTGTATATAAATAAGGGTTTTTCAAAAGAAAAATTACACAACTAAACGACTCAAATTTCTCTCTATCATTCTCAAAAAATTCTCAACTTCTTTTCATTCTATGGATCCAAACAAAAATTCATGATTTAATTTGATACCAAATTATCAACAACCCACAAATCCAAATTTCTAAAATCCATGATTTAACAAAAGTAGTTATTAACAATTTTACTACTTTTTCTTATTGTGCCAACAAATTATTTAAATAATAATAAAATAAAATATTGGTTTTTTTAAAATTAATTGATTTATAAATAAATAAATAATTATAAATTAATAAGTAAGTTCATAATAAAATATAATGATATAATTTTTTTTGGCAGAACTTAGAAATACTGGAAGAGAGTTGTTCCATTATAGAGATGAAGTACTTGAATCTGCTTATATAAAAAATAATAAAAATGAATGATGTGTGCAAGTGAGTCTCGTTAAAAGTACCACCCAAATAAAATTGCTCCATGTGTATCCGTGCATTGACATTCTTGCTTCTATTCCCTGATCTTACTCTCACATCAAATGCAACAATTTAATCATTCAGACCATTAGACCTGACAAGTCACAACATCAACCACTTTTTTTCTCTTTTTTTTTCTAATACTTCATTGATAATAATTACAAACTTGTCATTAAAATTGTGCCCTTTAATAAACCAAGTTCTCATTGTAAACAAAGCTTTGTTAGTATGGAGATGTTTTTGAAAGCTTTTTTAGCAGCTCTTTATATTTTGTTTCTGGTTCTCATCGATGCATCTCTAGCAACAATGGAGAAGAGGACAGAGACCAGAAGAGCACTACAGTGTAACAAACCTAAACTAAATGATTATTGTACAATAAATTTGAATGTAGCAATATCTTGCATTTATATAATGGATATTGTCAATAATTGTCAATCCTCTTACAATATTATTTCACCGAGTACATGCGTGCAACCTCAGTTTTGCTCCCCTATCTTTTGTGTTGTAAATTTATGCATTGGAGCTATATATTCACGATAACATTCTCAAAACCTATATCTATTTTGTTGCCATCAAAGTGCAAGAAACTGAAGTTTGTGATTTGTATTTTGCGCATTCAATTTTACGCCTTTAGTACCTACCAAAGTTGACTCAATCTCAGAGATTAATCCTCCTTGTTGAAACATTGTTGCGCAGGTTATTCATTTTTGGGTGGTTAGTCTCTGATTATGAGTTATGGCATGATTTCTGCCTTTTTTAATGGATTGAGGGATAGAGGCCATCTTGTTAAGGGTAGATGTATCCAAACCATCTAAGTTTCATGCAAAGATGCTTCAGCTTGACATCTAAACACTTAATTTTTCTAAGATATGTGGCCTTTTATTTCGGGATTGCAATCATGGACTATTATTTTTGGTTTTCGAAACTTGATATTTGTTTATATTGTCATAAATGCTTTTTTTTTTAATGACTTTAACTTCATATATGTGAATGCGAATGTCAGGTGAAAATGCCAGTTTGGTTATATATAGAGAGGGGGTTCAGGGTATCAATGGATGGAATGTCAGTGTATCAAATAATATTTTGATATTAATTCAACAATCTGCGCACCAAATTTAATATAAAGAGGACATCTGTATTTATATATTCTTATTTTCAAAATTTTCTTATATTTTAAAAAATATATTTAACATTAAATTGAATTTATTTAATGGAGTACTCCTATCAAATAATTTTATAAAATAACATAGTTAGACTTTGTCTACTCAATGAAAAATTTTAATTTAAAGATTAAATTAATAAAATTTAATTTGTACTAAAAGCTCGCCTCATTTCTTCCCGGAGATGCTAAGATGAAAAGGAAAATCATTATGAAGCAAAACAAAATATTGTCATGATTGATACAAAGGGAGGATAATTTAATTTGTTTGCAAGTAAGAACTTTCTTTTTATTGCCTTCTAAGGCAAGTGGTCGCGGCGTATTATTTACTTCAATACCAAAGGAGCTTGTACCTGTTATTCGTAATTCATGACAGACACAGTAATAGAATACCATTATAACTAATTTGTATTGGTATTTGCCTATTTGGTAGTGTGATCACTGCCATGTTTACAATGCGTGTAGTTCCTTTAACTAAGGTGTTATGTTCACGAATGTTATCCGAAAGCAAGAAATGAAAGAGTTAACAGTAAGGTGGTGATTCTTGCAGGTTTAATGAAACATGAACAAGTATTTTAACAAGAGAAAAAAGGCTATACATATCGTTATTTAATAAATTCATTGATTTTTATAATAATTATTTTAAAATTCATTTTAACGATGACTTTTATTAGTTGAAGGCATAAATTTTTTACTATTATACCTTTTTAACAAAGAACAAGATTGAAAAAGGAGATAGTGAAGTACCCCTTTTACATGTCATAAACTATACAGACCACGCTATTGTGGAGAATCCTTAAGATGAGAATTTATCTTGTAAAATTCATTCAAGTAATTAAACTTGGTTAACATACTGGAAATTTTTCCTTAAACGTGTTATAACAAGTGTTCAATTGAACAATTGGTCTTATCAATATCTATCACATTAACAAAGATTAATTATGAATTTGATCCCGAACAGAAAATGAAGATAGTTTTAACAACCTACATAGTACATACTCATATTGTCAGATGTAAAAAGTAAAATAAGCTCTAATTATGATAGTCAAGGTCCTCTTTCTTATGCTAATGGATTTGTAGAATTAACAAACCGTTCATCCTCCACTTATCGTGTCAAATCTATCAGAAAATCTGTCAATGCGCTGCAATTCAACCAATAGGTACCAGTAGATAACATATTGACGAAGAAATTGACGACCTTAACAATATGATGAGGTATTTATTGCTTAGTTTCAATATTCATTCATTTTCATTTTGTTGTATAATTGTATTACTTCATAAACGATTGCAATTAGTGTGCATGTATTCTAATGTTAGATTTGTCGGAAGATGAAGCTGCATCGATTAGTATCTCCAAAATTAGTATTTAATGACTGAAAGTCACTGTGAATTCTATATTGAAAGAATGGCAGTAGCTTTCAGAATCAACATACAATTACTCACTGGATATCATACATATGTTGCAGAATGTTACCAACTACTTAGTACGTGTTTGCTAAACGCCTTTGATCCATTTCATCCAATATTTTAACGTCAAAAAGAAGAATTTGATTGAGAAGGAAGCTAGAGTAGCTTCAGTTGGACGTGTACTTCATTGACACAAATGCAAACACGTTTTTAAACCCCCGCTATTAAACTAGCAGAAAGACTCGTACACTATTATATATCTGAGGCTAGCTCAGGTAGTCCTTCAGAGTGGAGATTTGCTTAGATTTGTTATTTGTAGCTCCATTCTTCATATAACCAAAAATAATGGGTTATTACAAATTTAAACCTACAAGTAACAGTTTTTTGCGTAGATTTGTAGTTGCATCCTTGATAAAACCAACAAGAATGAATTATAACAAATTATAACCTTCAAATAACTGTTCTTTACTTTCAAGGCACACCACAGGCACAACAAAATAATCACGGGAATGCATTCGTCAAATTCCCAGTACTCTCCCACAATCGTCCATGCCAAAATTTGAACGCAAGTAGCATATATTCCACCCACAACCTAAAACAAATCCAAAATAGAATGGATAGTGCGAGCAAGATAGAACAATAAAGGGAACAACTTCTTTGAACATCGAAATTTTAAAAGGTGTCTCAACTACATTAGATTATCTCAATATCCAAGGCATGGTTACAGCTGCATTATACATCTAATTTTGACAGTAATATAGGGACATCAACTCTGACTTGTTTCATGGAAGTATGACAACCAACAAGGTACCACTGCCCCCAGCATCAAACCATAAGTTGCTTTATAAATAACAAGCATGAGTATGCCAAAAAGAATCGAGGAAAAGTACTCATGAAAGCCTTCAACCGCAAAGCATTTTCTACTCCATGGTTTTAAGGAATTACAATTGACTTCTCAATTCTCTGCGCCAGCAACCGTCTTTGATCGGGTTAAACTTTGCCACGGTGTAAAGGTAATGGCCCGTGAAATAAGGTAAAGTATGAATGCCACATAGGCAGCTGTTAATACACACACTACAGTGGCAAACACTGCTCCGTTCACTTCAGAGGAGAAGAATTCCAGCAGAAGATAGCCGTTTATCACTATCACCAGAGCAGCCACAAGCCAGGAAATAATCTGTATCCATGTCATCGTAAGACAATCAATACTATTATACTATTAATCCAAACAAAATAAGCAGAAAAGTGGGCAAAGGGGTATTGGTCTAAATACATCAGATGTCCACAGAAGCTGCGGTTTAAGAACACTAGAGAAAATGTCAAAGCATCAAATAAACAATACTGTCTTGGCATGTTCAATATACAAAGTAATAAGCCATCACCAATGCACCCAAAGAAACATAAAGAAGAAAAAGAAAGAGAGAGGGAAAAGAAAGGAACCATTGACACTACCGACTTCAGAAAGCACAAGTCACTGTCGTTAGCCTTATGTAGAGAAATTATCAAAATCTCAATGATGGCCATTATATATCACATATATAAATACAAGTCAGATTTGGATGTTTCAAGACAACGCTGAATCACATGCAGTTTCCGACTAGAGCAAAATAAATTGCATATTATAGGATATTGAAAGGCATATGTTAAGAAGCACTAAATAGACCCTATTATATACATACTTTCAATTCATAGACACTCCACTATCGACCTCCTTTCAATTCTCAAGACAACAGTAAAATTAAGCCACCCGTTTGTCTTCTTAAAATCTAATTTTGAATTGTACGAGAAATCAGGTATACCACAGGTCAATTTTGAATTATCTCCAGCCTGAATAGCAACATAAAACGTCTACATCGGAACATTTCTGAATTATCTCTTACTATGTTTTATTTAATTGATGACCCATAAAGGAAGATATAGAGTGACCAAAATGCAGATAAAGGGATAATATACCTTGAGGACTGAGCCGATTTTGAAACTACCCATTATCTGTTCTTTGGACACCAAGCAAAGCAAGGGGATGAGTGCAAAGGGGATTTGAACTGACTGGAGAACATTAAGCCATTCATTCAGAACATCTAATGATTCCTCCGAGGTATCGAATATAAGAGCAACTATCATGGTTGGGATGATTGCAAAACTTCGTGTAATTAATGCCCTGATCCATTTTTTCAACCTTAAATTCAAAAAACCCCCCATGATAAATTGTCCAGCATATGTACCCGTGATTGTGCTACTCTGGCCCGCTGCTAATAACCCGATACCCCATATATACAGGATTGGGAATAGTCCACCCCCGTACTTCTCCTGAAGGTACTGCCCTGCATTTACAAGACCAATGCTATTTGCTATTTCGGTACCATAAAAGCCCTTAGCAAACACAGTTGTGACAAATATATTAATGATAAAGGACACTGCAAGGGCGATGGTGGACTCTATAGAGTAGTAATTAATAGCTTCTTGAACACGCCCTTTCTTGCTGGGGTCAACCTGCCTTGACTGAACAAGCGCAGAATGCAAAAACACATTGTGAGGCATAATAATGCAACCCACAACTCCAACAGCTTGCTGTATAGTTCTGGAGCTAAGTTTAGGGACCAAAATACCTACCAGAAAAAAAAAATGAAATATATATCAGATATAAAGAAAGAGCACACCTAAGAATTTACTCATGATGAAGTAAATTTTCCACAATCCCAAATCAACAAAATAAATGTTAAATTATTCATTTGGTCCGCATAGTTGTCGTCTACATTTTAAGTTTTAGCTCCTATACCATAAAATTGTAAGTTTTAGTCCCTACGTACAAATCAAAGTTAATTTTGGTCAGGTCCAGACAGTAACATGCGGTCAGAGTTTGATATTTATTCTGTGTATATAGCAAAATATTTGTCGAGAGAAATCAGCATCTTAAATGAATCTCGAGAAATTAGTCTATACCCAGATTTACCAAAAATGAAACACGAAAAGAATTTTCGGCGGTGTAAAACTGCTTGGAAAAAATTTCTGATATATATAAAGCCCTACAAAAAACTGTATAAGGACTATAGCTTAGATTTTCTCATGTAGAAATCGAAAAACATAAAATAGCAACAACTGCTTGGAAAAAATTTCTGATATATATAAAGCCCTACAAAAAACTGTATAAGGACTATAGCTTAGATTTTCTCATGTAGAAATCGAAAAACATAAAATAGCAACAACTATTGTGCGCAGTGAATAGTTTTAACTGAAAATAAACCTACCTACGAGAACATCAACACCATCAGGCTTTGCTTCACCAAACATCCAAGCAAATGAGAGAGCCATTACACCAATGAGAACAGCGAAAAACGCCTCCAATTTCCTGACGCCATAGTTCTCAAGAAAGAGAAAAATGAAACTGCAACAAGGCAGCTAAAGAGAAATTAAGAATGAATCGGTAAATTGGAAACACTAGCATATAGTTAAAGAAAGAGAAGGAATCAAAAATTTACCAATCGAAAGCGGTAACAACAACCCCAGCCCAGAGCGGAACGACGCCGTTACTGAGAATCCTAATAGCAATAGCGCTGCCAATAACCTCTTGTATGTCGGAGCCAATAAGAGCAACCTCGGTCATCAACCACAGCACAATCCTAGCCCACGCAGGGTACTCTTCTCTGCAGAGTTCGGCTAAGTGTCTCCCAGTGGCGACGCCGAGACGGGCCGAGAGAAGCTGGATAATAAGGCCCATAGCCGTGGCCCACATGAGGAGCCACAAGAGCGAGTACCCAGCAATGGCACCCGACTGAAGATCCCCCTCGAGGTTCCCGGGATCCAGGAAGGCGATGCTCATGAGAAAGCCGGGCCCAGTGAAGAGCCAAAGCTTCCTCCATGAGAACGGCGGGGCCTCCACGTCCCCGCCGTGCTCGTCGATTCCGACCACCACGACCTTCTCCGAGGAATCGTAGGCGGTCTCCTCTTGCTCTAGCAGAGGTTGTTGGGTGTCTTGAGGAGGCATGGCCACAGGGGAAAAAAAGTGGCGTTGTGGTCACGCCGGCGTTGCTTCAAAACCAGTTACTGTACACGGCGGTTTCCGAAAAGCCACACTGGGAGTGGGATGGCTTTAGAAAAAAACAAACAACCTAATTACCTAACCTGGCTTCGTGTTTATCGTCAGAGAAATTAGAATCAATGCGATAACTACACCTGTGGTCTCAAAATGGAAATTCAGTTGCTTTTTTATTTTTTATTTTTTCTCCCATTACACTCTCTGCTTGTTGCGTGAACACGTAGGACTGTGCGAGTCATGGCATGAAAATAAGGCAAGATATTTTCATTTTTTTCGCACCTTTTCTCTTTAGCCTCCTCTGTCACATCTTTTTTTTTTTTTTCTCTTCTTTTTCTAACCTGTTTCACATATGATATGAGATGTCAAAGAAACATTATTAATTATAATAAAGTTCAAATATTGCTAAAATTAATAAAATAATTATTATTTAAATTTAAAAATGACTATAAGATAGAACTTTATATAACAATTTTAGAATTTTCGACTCACAAATATTCGGTGGAAAAATCTGTCAATAAATTTGGTTTATTTTCATATTCATAATCTGTCGATATTTAACCTTTTGTTTTTACTTTTTAGTAATAATTCATCTTTCCAAAATACTGAAATCTGTACTCTCTCCCCTCGGTTGTCATTCTTAACTAAAATATTATTACTTCTGTATTTCTGTTAACACTACTAATGAATCTGCTATATTTATCTTCTTCAATATAGTAGTCTTTTAAAGTAAATAAAATAAATTAATAACCATGCATTGCATTGGATGCCTATACGGATGTTAATAACGTATTTTTCTAGTACAAATCGAAAAGATTAACAGATATTGTTTTTTTTTTTCTTCCTAAATTAAACAGATAGGGAAAATATATTTTTCTGTTCCACATATAGGCACGTGATCGGATACACAAACGCGAGCTTCGCGTGGCTCCTCCGGAAATCGTGTAAACAAAGATTCGGACTAAATAATTCTATTACCTCCAAAACAATATACCTACAACTTAATATATTATTTAGTACGATACTTAGGGTCACTTTTACAATGGGCAAGTCACAAGGTTCATCATTTTATAAAATAAGTTTGTTTTAGAGGTTCATTCTTTATTCCATATGTATTCAGCTCCTGGAATGTGTTCATCAACGATTCCTTGCAAAGGTCATTTCTTTCAAACGGGCTTTGCATTCTTTGTAAAAGAAGAATTACCTTTGGTGGACAATTCTTGTTTTGTTGAATTATTTACACTTGTCCCATTATTATATGTTATGTATAGCAACTTCAAGAAAAAAGAAGATAACAGTAACGTAAATTATTTTGTTAATGTTATATTTTTTTTTAATGTTTTGTTGATAGAGATTGTCTTGTATTGGGCTTAGATAATAGTAACAGCAAGAAAGAAATATTTAATCAAAAAATATTTAATTTTTTTAATACTTATAACACACTAGTAATCTTTTCGTAATTCTAGGGTCAAACAGGAGTTTTGAGTTGATATATCGAGGGGAAGATACCTACAAAAAGACATTTTAACGCTCAAGTCAGAACAAATACAAATATTGATAGTAATAAATAAACAATAATTTTATCTCGAGATATAAATTATTTATATTAATATTAATGAGCCTAGTTCTCGATGAACCCTGCACTAGGGTTACCAAATTAGGTAATACGTTGATAATTGACACCCGTGATTAACCCCTGATCATTTATTAGGGATGGTTAACAACCATTAGAGGGGTTATCCTTTCTTTGGACTCTATCAGCCATCGAGGGTGTCGAACAGTCTTCGACTACCGAACTGTCGAAGATGTTGAGTCACACGAAGCTCTTGGGGCCCGAGGTGCTTTGGGGCATGGCAAAATGGCCTAACCAGTTGTTTGGCCGAATAGCCAAGCGACGTCATAATCTTGAGTGTCAAGAGTATGGTTGAATGGTCTACCCTAATATATTTGTTTTCAGCTGTCGAAGGTGTCAAGTGGTCCTCGACTGTTGAGGGTTCCACGTGGTGTCTCGTGTACCAAGGGATATGGCCAAAAGGCCTATCCAGTACACTTTTGATTGTTATTTTTTATAAATGTATTTAATTAATTTTTTTAAGGTAATAAATAGTAGATAAGATATTATGGACACTTGAAGGAAAAAAATTTGATAAGATACATGATAGAATTCCTAGTGAATTCATACCAAAGGTTGGGATGGAGTTTGAGATTAAATATATTATACATAATTTTTATAATTTTTATGTTTATAGAGTGAGTTTTGGTGTAAGGGCTAATAAAAGACACAATGATAAGCATGAGAAGATAATCAATAGGATATTTTATTGTTCATGAAAAAATATCGTAAAAAAGATAAACAAAAAGGTAATGAATAAAATCTTCATTCACAAACAATATTTGGTTATTCAACAAGGATGAAAGTTAATAGTCATTTAACTAGAAAATATTATATAATTGAATTTATCTTCAAGTATGCAGGAGAGATTACAACTACAAATAAGAGCCATTTGCTTATATCGCAAAGGAAAATGAATCTTCTTCAAGTAGTTGAGGTCCTTTTAGTTGATGATGTTGGAATTATGCCAAAAGTAATTTGTGAGTTAATAACTAAGTGAGTTGGTGGTCATGAAAATCTCGAATTCATTCTAAAAGATTATTGAAATTATTTATGTTCCAAGAGAGCAACTCAAATAAAATTAAGAGATATAAGTAGTGTGCCAGATTATTTACAAAAAATGCAATTAGAAGGTTCTTAATTTTTTTTTCATATAATACAAGTTGACAAGGATGATTTAATTACTTATATCTTTTATGTTGATGCAAAGATGATAATTGACTATTCACATTTTGGCAGTGTAGTTTGTTTTAATACTACTTATAGATAAAATAAAGAATATTATCTATTTATAATGTTTGTTGGAAGTGAATAGTCATAAGCATTGCAAATAAATCACCTTTTTTTTGTATTATCGAAACAAACTACATCACCAAAATATAAATAATCAATTATCATATTTACATTAGTCCAAAATACTTTAGTAATTAAATCATTCTCGTCAATTTGTTTTGCATAAAATAGAAAGAAAAAAAATTCATTTTTTAAATACTCTAACACACCACTTACATCTCACATTGCATTGTTCTTTTTGAATGTAGATAATTTTTATAATATTCTCTAATTAATTTAAGACTTTTGCGACCACCAACTCGCCTAGCCAATAATTGACAACTTGCTTTTATAGTAATTATAGAATCAAAAACTAAATAAACCTTGACTACTTGAGGAGAAATCATTTTCCTTTGAGATCTAAACAAACAACTCTTACTATAAGTTTTAGTCTTATGTGGATGCCCGACAATAAATTCAATTACACAATACTTTTCAATTAAATATCTATTGACTTTCATCTTTAACAAATAACCAAATCAAGTCAATAAACGAGAATTCTTATCATTATCATTCCATATATCGTTCCAACAATATCTTTTAAACAATAAAATATCTTTATTTTTTCTTATCTTTATGTCATTTATTAGTCCTTACATTGAAACTCACTCCATAAGTACAAGAATTATAAAAAATTATAAGCAATATATTTAGTCTCAAACTTTATCCCAACTTTTGAGATGAATTGATAAGGAATTATATCACATATCTTATTAATTTTTTCAATTTTATCCACATTATCTTTGACCACTTTTTTATGTTCTTCTTCAATCATAATTTCTCTATTATTTATCATCTTAAAAAATAAATAAAATATTTAATTAAATATATTTGATAAAAGTAATAAGCAAAAGAATTAAATATTTACTTCTTGCTACTAGTATTATCTAAGTCCAATACAAGATAATCTCCATCAACGACATAAAAAATTAACAAAATTAGTCCAACAAAATAATTGATGTTACTACTAACTTCTTTTTTCTTGAAGTTGTTATGCATAACATACCGTAATGAGACAAGTGTGAATAATTCAACAATATAAAAATTATCTACCAAACATAATGTTTTGAACAAGGGATGCACAATGTGTTTGAAGGAATTTACCGTTGCAAGGAATAACTGATAACGACAAGTTAGGGTGCTTTGAACAAAGGTCAAGAACTATATATGTATGAAATGAAAAATGAACATGTGAAACAAATCAACAAAATTAGAGTCTAGAAAAATAAGTAAACGCAATATTGAAAGCCATAAAGTAAATCATAACTCAAGAAACAAACAACAAATTAAGAAATGTGAACCATAGAAGGAAGGGTGTGAGGTGAGATCTGCATAAACATGAACAAGAAATGTGAGAATGACTGACATGAAGCTTTGTTAATTTTGTTTAAACCTGAATTAAAATGAAAAGGAATGTAAATTAGAGTAGAAAGAGAATAAATATGAACCAAAGAATGAAGAACATGGACAACAAGAAAAAACAAAACTATGAACCAGGATTATAATCCAATGAGAAACAAAATTGTAAATGAGAATTATAAATTTAGTGTATGTTTGGTTTAGATTTTCAACGTGATTAATTAATCACGTTAAAATAGAAACTATCAATTATAACTTTTACGTTTTAAACGTAATTTTTGTTCTGAATTACGTTTTAGACGTGTAACTAAACATGCATTTAACTAACGTAAAACTTTATTAATTTTATATAATAGCTTAAATTAAAGTGATGTAATATTCCAAATGACGTGAGATTCAATGATTGAAAGCCATGAATAGAAATAAATGATGCAAACATGAAAGAAAGTTTTAGTACAATTAAAACCTAAAAAGTAAAAACAACTTTAATTATTCTCAAACACCAATTCAACTCAGTTACGTTACGTTAAGCGTAACCCAAAAGTAACACATCACTTGCTTCTCCGTTTCTATCTTAAAAAATGAAAAAACTCAGTTAAACGGAGTTTGAACGACAAAACAAATACACACTTCATCTCTCAACTTTCTCTTGTCTCATTGAAGACAAAATTGACGGCTTACAATTTGCTAAACTAATCGAATTTCCAAAAACACCACAAAGACATTAGGATAAACTTTTTTTTCCCCCTGTTTTTTCCCAACTGAATTCTTAAAATAAAAAATATATTAGAATAATAAGATAAGATAACAAAAAAAAGGATGATATTATCATATTTCATTGATATAACAAATAACAAATTTTTTAAAAATAAGATAACTATCTAATCACGTTTCATCTTTT